ATCACCTGCTTAACTGACCAGCAAGTCTTTCAAAGTCCTTAGAAAATCAGTGATTTTAGGGTTCGTCTGTAAACCCTCAGCATTGGACAACAGTCTTGGAAAGATGAAGCAACAACTGCCAATTAAAATAATTATTTTATTTACAATTTGATTTACAGTGCATGTGGACTCTGTGTGATTGTTTCTAAAGTTGAGGTCTTGCTGTCCACTGGCTACAGATCTCAGAAAAAGATGCCAAAAGACAATAGTGTTTCCAGAGTTGGGGGGAGTGTTTTAATGTCAAACTGTGTTGAAAGCACCAGGGTGAGGGTTAGTGTTGGGATAGGCTACACAGTTAAGGAGGGAGAAGGGGGAGGTGGGATCCTTGTAGTTTTCTGTTTAAAAAAAAAGCTTATTTTCTGATTGTCTTTGGTGGAACAGCTTGTTTATAATGGTTATGGTAATTTATAAAAGTAAAGCAAAAACAATCACACTGAATTTCAGTGATACACTGAAAATGAAACTGTAGCACCACGGATGGCGTGGCAGGGGGGCGTGCCATGCTCTGCCACACTCTGCCACGCTCTGCCACACTCTGCCACGCTCCGCCACGCTCTGCCACACTCTGCCACGCTCTCTCCCGTCTCTCGCATGCCTGCAGCTCCCCTGGAGGACAGATCAAGAGCACACTCCGACGTTATCCTCCGCGCAGCAGTTTCCACGGTTACACAGATGTCATTTGTGGACTGATGCCTGAATTTCCGCATTCCTGCCAATTAGCGACTGCTGTCAAAAGAGCTGCCCTCAGAATCTGTTAAAAACTCTAGACTAGATGAACATTCTTCTTTCTTAGTGTTGGCCATTTGACATGATGAAACACGGTTCTGAGACGGTGAAGTTAGGGATCAGGAAGAAGTGAACTAGAGGCGCCGTGCGCTAGAGTGACCAGCCCTTCAGTTAGTCTCCGATTGGCAAGAACGCTGTTTTCCACAGAGCCAGGCGTCTCTACCCTTCTCCTGGATCCCCCAGACCAGCTGGTGGTAGAGGTCACCATGAAATCGCTCAATAATACGGTAAATTCAGCGTTCCTCTAGAACAAGCCTCAGCCTTCCTTTGAAAGAACATATGACTTAATCGACCAATCACTAAGACCCAGTCTTTAAAAACAGGCGATGTCAGTGGTGACCTAAGAGGACCCAGGGTGGGAGACCCCTTATTTAGAGGGCTGTATCAAGCTCGACAAGAATTCAGGTGGATGAGCGCAGATTAAGCATGGAAAGCCATTGTTTATGTCAATAACTATTATATGCCTTGACAAATGTGCGGACAAAATGCTGGCAGTGTATCAGGGTGGAGAGTGGCCTGCAAGAAGGTGCTCCCTTACCTTCCTGCTGCTATCCACAGCTAAGGTCTAGGTCTGGAAGAGAAAACAGAATGGCTGTCAACAGCCACGCCAGCGCGCTGCGGTTCTGTCCTGGAGGTCGGGGCTCCCAGGTCTCTTTGAAAGGCAGCGGCCCCCGAGGATCACCCCTGGGGCTCCTGGGAAAGAGGTCGACTCCAAGCCATCTGCTCGCTTCCGGGAGAGACGCAACCAGCCGGCCTGCCTCGCGCGCGGCAGGACGTCCGGCACGCTCCTGCGGGATGCTCCAGGACTTACCAGCAGCGCAGCGGCGAGAAGGGCTGACAGGACGGGGACAGAGGCCGCAGCGAGCCGGTGTGCTGGAACACAGACAGGGGAAGGACAGCCGTTACCGCCAGGAGGCGACACTCGAGTTGGGCAGTCGATCTGGGAACA